TGGTGTACTCGCCGTCGTGGTGGTCGTTATCGCGGCAAGCAACACTTGGACGTCCACCTTTGGTCGCTGCTTCCAGACGACCTCGTGGTAGCAGTGATCGACAACGCACCAGAAGGTTTCCAAAGTGCTGGTAAACCGTTTCGCTCCACAACCCCATGGGGTAGTGGACGTTTTCGCGATCCGTTGGCCAACTTCCTTCGCTATCGCACCCGCCCACCAGGTGAACACGGCCGTGAAGCACGAGGACGACCCGACAAATTCTCTTGAGCACATGGCCTAAACGATCTCCACTGTGATCCTTCCATGGCACAGGCTCGGATGAGGCACCGCTGCATACCAGCCGCACCGCTTAGACGGCAACTAGCCATTTACCAAGAACCATCAATGCGGCGTCTCAATGTTTAGTATCACCAAGTACCGATAGACGAACCCGGTCTGCCCCGTGGAGAAACCAAGCAAAGTTGTGGGATATTCCTTTGTTGGATGATGGCCAAGACGATGAAGGCCCGGCGGACTGACTTGGCTCCGCGTTGATTGGCCGAATCCACAGCGGAAAGACTTTTAGCTCCTTCTCCTCAGCCAGCGGCCTCGAGACGAAACCTCAGGCTAAACCGCAAACCAATCCCACCGCGGACTTGTGTCATCCAGAAACCTGGTGGGACCCATAAACCACGCACCGAAAGACCGCGTCTAACACCCCATCCGTGCGACAAGCGTGCACGCCATCTAGTTTCCCCGCAATGCAGCGCATGCTCAAGATCTTGGACCTGTCTCGGCCCCCTTGGCCTAGGCCCATGTGCGACGTTGGCCTCGACTGACAAGCCATGAAAACACTTGACCTCGCGCGACATGGCGCAACACCAAGATTTCGGTGGCTTGCCAATGTGCCTTTGCTCTGCGACAAGACCACGAAGACTCCAGGGTTGGGGCTGGGCTCCTCACCGGAACCAGTCACGAGTAGTGAGCTCGGAGTATCAATGCGACGTTCATGTCAGGAAAGAGTCTTGGTATTTTGCGGGTTACCTTCCCGGGACGAGTACCGTATTTCGTGTTCTCATTGCGACGTCAGCCAGGATGGGCTGGGGAGGAGGAAGAACAAGGAATGGCATGATGGAAGCCGTCAACTCTACGCCAGAGTGCTACGTCCCTCGTTGAAGGTTGTACCAACACTACGTGAGCGCTTACTCCCCGCTGAACAGCAAAGTTCACGATGCGGGCACCACTAGACCGAACACGAGACCACCGACCACCGGCTCCGACATACCTGTCCTTGCCAAAAAAAAAACCACCGGAGGCGGGCAAAGCCAACCTGGCACTAAGCACGCCCAGCACCTAGGGTACGCCCTGCGAGCTTGTGTGCCGCACGTTTGCATGTTCGCGATTCGGCAGAACGCACAATGATAGTCAGGCTCCAAGACCAAGCAAGCGGGCAGACTTGCCTTCGGGGACCCCGCGACCCCATTCCCCCAGCGCCATTCAGCCTCAAGTGTGTCCAAGGCGGCCGGAAGAAGCGCGCTTACCATGTCTTGGAACGCATGCATGCGCGGAGGTACCTAGACAATTGTCGTGTGATTTCGGAACATCGCTTGTAGAGAAGGAACTGGGGCGAAGTATGGGATCCACCGCACTTGTGCGACGCTGAGGGCGGGGATGGAGGTGTATAAGAGTGCTACTCCACGTCCCCCGGATTGTTGATTTCCCCAGATCAACCAGCTCAGGCTTCGGTGATCCAACGGGCGTCTTACCCACACCCTTTACACCTCATACTCTTATCTTTTCAGAGAGGTTCTTTGAACACCACCCATCATGTCTGAGAAGAAGAACGATGTCGTCATGCTCGAGCAGACGATGACTCGGGATGAAGAGCTCATGAAGCCTGTGCCCATTGTCGGCAAGGTGGATTACTCTGGTGCTTACGAGAAGACTGATCCCCGAGAGATTGCGCTTGTCAAGAAGCTCGACCGATGGATTATGCCCATGTTGTGGAGCATGTACTGGCTCAATTACCTTGGTATGTCACTCCTCTCTCACAGTGATCTTTTTGGAAGCACTTACTTACACATCGCTCTGTCTAGACCGCAATGCCATTGCACTGGCCCGCCTCGACGACCTCGAAGAGGATCTCAACCTCACCAGCGAGCAGTACCAAACCTGCGTGAGCATTCTCTTCGTCGGATACCTCCTTGGCCAAATTCCCAGTAACATGTTCCTCAACCGAACCCGTCCATCGCGCTACATGGGCTGCTGCATGATGCTCTGGGCCGTCGTCTCCGCCCTGACAGCTCTTTCCAAGGACTTCACCGGTCTCCTTCTAACCCGCTTCTTCCTCGGTGTAACAGAAGCCCCCTACTACCCCGGTGCTGTCTACCTGCTCTCCATGTTCTACACCCGCAAGGAAGTCGCCACCCGCATTGCTATCCTGTACACCGGAAACATCCTCGCGACCGCCTTCGCCGGCCTCATCGCCGCAGGCATCTTCCACGGTCTCGGCGACGTCGCTGGCATCACGGGATGGCGCTGGCTGTTCATTCTCCAGGGTGCTGTCACCTTCGTCATCGCCGTCGTCGGTTTTTTCTTGCTTCCAGATTTCACCCACAACACATGGTGGTTGACGCAAGAAGAGCGCGACCTAGCCACCAACCGCATGGCCCTCGACACCGTCGGCAACAAGGGCGAGACGTCCGTGTGGGCTGGTTTCCGCCAAGCAGGCAAGGATCCCATGGTCTGGATCTTCGCTTTCATGGCACACATGCATCTTGCCGCCAACGGGTTAGTAATATCCATGATGCGAACTGTGTGTGTGAGACAAATACTGACTTCGTACACTCATCTTTAGGTTCAAGAACTTCTTCCCTACCGTTGTCCAGACTCTTGGTTTCAGCAAGACCATCACCCTTGTTCTGACTTGCCCGCCTTACCTCATTGCTGGTGTTGTTACGATCGCTGTCTCGTGGTCTTCTGGCAAGTTCAACGAGCGCACTTGGCACATTACTATTTCCAAAGCCGTTGCTACCTTCGGCTTTGGACTGGCTTGTGCTGAGATTGGTACTGCGGGTCGTTACGTCGCTATGATCATCTTCACCATTGGCACTTATGGTGTTAACTCGCTCATCCTGGGTTGGTGCGGATCGACATGCGGTCAGACGCCCGAGAAGAAGGCTGTTGCTATCGGTATCGTGACGACGGTTATGAACGCTTCGTTTATCTGGTAAGTTCCCCTTCTACCTCTTCTTCATCACCTCAAAGAATCAGTTGCTAACACGGATAATAGGACACCATACCTATGGCCCAAGTCTGACGAGCCTCGCTACATCATTGCGCTCAGCTCCTCGGCTGCCTTCTCCGTTATGACTGCGCTGTTGGCGTGGGTGGCGAAGATTCTCTTCACGCGCAAGAACAAGAAGCTCAGAGAGCAGGATAGCGAGAACATGACCTTCTACGTGTACTAGATGCTTGCGCATGGTTGCGATCGGTAACACGATGGATGGGGATAAAATCGGCTGGCAAGAGCTGGCGCAGATTAGATGGAAGATAGTACATTACAAGCTGAGAGCTTGATGAATACGCACATATGAATGATGAATTGTTCAATCTTGAAGACTAGCTGTATGCATCGATATGATTGCGCATCATGATTTGAATTCCGCAAAGACTCATACATAATCTAGCGATGTAGCCTGCAAGCCTCCTCCTCAACTTCCAACATACAGCATTCTTCACTGCCACACGCTAACCCCACATCCATACTATAGAAGGATCGAATTCCCAATAGTACTTGAACCCTTTCTTCTTCTCCAACATCGCCTTCCCACGCGCGATCAACGCCGCCTCATCGCGCTGGGAAATACCAGCTTGGATGGCTAATTTCCTGCACGCGAGACGGACTACTTCGTTGTAGTCGTATAAGCGCATTCGCGTGCGGCTGGGGTCTGTTGGATTAGGCCTTGATTCAAATGCAAGGCATTCGAGATCGTTCTTGTTCAAGCAGAAGTACTTCTCGGACTTGGATACGTTGATACATGTTGTCGCGGATGCGTTCAATGTTTCGGGATTTCGCCGTTTGTTACGATAGATATAGTTCTTCCAATTTCGCTTCCACTGCGTAGGAGTGTCATTTGGTTCTAGCAATGCTGCTCTTAACGCCGCTTCATGGTCAGCTTGTTCTCTGGCTCTTTTCGCAGCGGCTTCGCGTTCTGCGGGGGTCGGAGTGGGCGTTTTGGGTTCTATTTTGACTGGTATACTAGCAGCTTCGACCTCCTTGTTCGATGACACGGGAATGGTCGGTGGCTTGGGTGCTATTTTGACTGGTACAATGATAGGTCTAGCTTTCTTGCTCGATGGTACGGGAGTGGTCGGCTCATCGTCACTATCATCGGGAGTGGCTGGGCGTTTGCGTTTCGGTGCCTTCGCTATCGAAGGTGAAGCTTCTATTTCGCTTTTCAAAGACAAAGGCTCGTGCTTGATATTGATGGCTGAGGAAGGTGGGGTGAGTAGCTGGGGTGCTAGGGTAGGCGAGGTGGGTTCCTCCTTGATGAGGGGCTGTGACGTTTCCTTGACCATTTTGGAGTCGCGGCGATGGAGTGCCATAGTGGGTGAATGGGAAAGAGCGTTGGTTAAATAAGAAGCGGTAAGACACTTGAAAGGTGTCTTTGGCAGAGGTCTTAGACATATGAGACAATGCGACAGAGGTACTTTAGGAATAAAGACGTTGGAACAACTGTGCCTCTTAACAAAACGGCCTTCCGAACAAAGTTTAGGCTTGCTGCACAATGAGGGGTAAAGTACCAAATCAGTAATCCTGGATGCCACGTCAAGATGCATTGAGGTATTGGTAGACTACCATAACCAGCATAATCGAGATCGTTTCGCGTGGTGGTGCACTAGAACGAAACGACTTTGGTAGCCTTCCCGTCAACGTCCCGACGAGACCCTGATTTGCGAAAACAAGATTCCTGCGCGAAGCGCAAGGACAAGATTAGGGCTTTCAGAACATTGAGAGTCTAGTAGCCACTCCGGTTATGGTCATCCCCATACTTCTCGCACATCAACCTATCCTCCTCATCCTCGCGCATCCGCCTGAGTTCATCTTGTCGCATGGATTCTTTGTAGCGTGCAATCTCCGCCCCGGTCCTTCCCCCTTTGGCATACAAGAGGTTGTCGTAATTACTGGAGAGTGTTAGCATCATTGCAGCTGCAGTATACATCGGTCGCTTACCCTCTGGCGTGCTTATCGGCAAACAACTTCTTTCCTTTGGCAAGGAACTCTTGCTCGTTATCCTGCGATATGCCGGCTAGCATAGCTTCTTTCCGAAAGGCTAGTTTCCCACAGTCATCCCATCTGTAGTCCTTCTGGGGCATCTGGTTGTATGCGTTCACGGATGGGCGATGTGGGATGCACTTGAGCTCCTCTGGCTTCAGGTCGAAGAATGCCTTTGCGTTTTTGACGTTTACATTCTTTCCTAGGTCGCTTGAAGTGAGTTCCTCGTAGGTCTGGTTCTTGGATACCCAATCTTTCCAGTCTTTCTTCCATTGTGCGATTTGCTTCTTTCGCTCTTTCTCGGCTTTCTTCGCTTCAGCAGCTTCTTTCCTCTTCGCAGCGTTTGCGGCTTTGACTGCGGCCTCTTCCTCTTTCTTCTTCGCCGACGCGAGCTTCTTTGCAAGCGTTTCTTCGGACTGTGCTGGCTTCTTAGGTGTCCTTGGTCCACGTGAGGCTTCGCTCTTCCTCGCTACCTTTGAGGGCGTCTTCGTTTCGGCATCATCGTCGTCGTCTTCGGCCGGTCGCTTGAGGTTGGGCGTTTGCGCTTGTTCAGCTGGCTTCAGCGGCTTGACCGACGTCTCTTCGATACGCGTTACTTTGGGCCCGTGCTCATCGGAGTCTGGAGGGGGAGTTTGGAGTTGCTGGCGGCTCTCCGTTGATGATGCCATCGCTGCATCGGAGTTCATGATGTCATTCAACAAGGTTGAGTGCGAAGCTTGGGATAGACAGAAGGGTCAATGGCGTCAGATTGCTCAGGATACTAATGACGTTGGAAACTTGGGAAGCAAAGATGACAGGTACCAGATGTGGCATCAGAAAACATATATACCGCGCACTGCGTTCCGATCAAGAGACCCTGCCGCTGTGCCAACCTTATCGCATGGGGCTACAGGTGGGGTGGTGCCCGTGCCGGAGCCGTTTCCGGGCTACGTCACCCCCACCTCATTACCCCTGATGTCCCCACCATGTACCCTTCTCATCACCAACCCTGAAACCGCTGGCACCTATCTCGCTGATCTGAAACACGATATATGTGATCGTACTCGCATCAAATATTTGAACAACTCCAATGCCTTCAACGAATTAAAATAGAGCCAGCACGATGCCCGCCAGTGCGAAATGATGTCACACAGCATTTACCTAGGTACGTTAATTTTTCCGCCGACCTTGTACCGACGTCATCACATTAAAATGTGCTTGATCCCGTTATGGATTTCAGCATGGAGATTCTGTTCCGACGACAAGGAAAAAATGCATTGAATAGCTCACTTCCGCCCATAGTTTAAGCAGCAAAGCGATGAACTTCAGGTATCAGCAAAAACCGTTGGAAGCCTTGCGACAAATAGCAACAGCTAGGTGCCTACTACTACAAAACGACGCAGGTTCAAAACCGGTATCCAAGCAACGAAAGAGAAAAGAATGATAAACCACGGGTATCGCATCGCTCCCCCATCGATCAACTCAACTCCTTCAAACTCGCCTCCACATTCTCCCAAGCCTTCGGGGACATAATCAAGCTCAGCCAATAACCCCCCGCATGATCCTTCCCCAAAATATGCACCAACAGCCTATTCGCCGGATTCGGTATCCTACTCGAGCAATGATGAAACGCAGGCATACCAGGCGGATTACTCCTTCCCTCACTCTCATCACCAGCCCTCACAACCGCAGGCCCAAAGTCGACAGTAGAAAAGAACTTGGCTTTCGACCAGTCGGTAAAAGGCACCAACATCGCATCCGCGTCACTGTAGAGAAGCGTCGATGGATCGCCGGAGATACGCTGCTCGCGAAGACTGGCAAGGACTTGGCCTTCGGTTGCTTGTTCGAGGAGGCGCTGGCGGTTGTGTAGAGCGATGGGACCGAGTGGGCCGGTTGCCATGTCTGGAGAGAGGAAGGTGAAGCCGGGGACGAGCATGTTTTGCATGTACATGCCCTTCGCGTTGATGAGTTCAGGAAGACGGAAACGAGCGTTCATTGCGTGGAGGGCGGTCAAGGGACGGGGTGATGGCAGAGAAGATGCGATACAGCGGAGTGTCCATGCAGTGAGCACATCGCCATCGCTGATGAACGGTGGTTTCTCGACTATACCGTCATCGTTCTCCTGCACAGGTAGGTCTTGCTCAGTTGCTACGCGCAATTTCGCCACGACGTCCTTTGGCAGGTAAATCGTCTGCGACTTTGGAGCAGGACCAGTAAGCATATCCCATGCGAACCTCGCTCCAAATTTGACCATACTCAGCCCTTTGAGCTGTTTGGCCTTGAGTATGTACTCCTCTGCCGGCTGAGTCGTGTTGTCAGTCAGTGCACGTAGCATGTCTTCCCGCGCCCCTAGTACAGGCGGCACTTCGGTCTCTTTTCCGGCTAATACCATCGACCACGCGCAGAGGAGGTTTTGGTTGCCAATTACATCCATCAAAGTATGGGGCCAGGAGAGTCCCACGAGTGTTGCGTTGGTAAAAGACGTGATGTGGACCGAAATTTGTGGCGTGTCTCCAGCGATCAAGTCCTCAAACGTCATGGGCGCGTCGGCGCTAGCGGCCAGGTCATTGAACTCCGTGGGTCCTGGACAGATCAAGACGGCTCTGTTGGCTTTGGGAAGCTTCTTGGCTAGGTCGTGCTCTTCGATGGGAGTGTTGATGGTGACATGGCTGTACGAGAAGGCGGGTCGCTCAGATGTGAACTGGCGTGGGACATGAATCTCCAATGCACCCTTGTTCTATCATCCAACATGTTAGCCGTACTGCTTCCACGCGAAATCAATCCGAAAGATGCCACTTACGTTGAGTCTCAAGCGTCCTCCAAGCTTCCTCCAGTCCCCATTTTCCAAGAGCTTTGCTAGAGAGGACCGGAGCCTATCCGCATCGAGAACATCGTTGAAGCAGAGTGTCCATGTAATTATGATGCTACGGAAAGTCTTCGTGTCGTCTAGTGTGTGTACTGGAAGGACGTCGTCGTCGGCATATGGGGTTGGTGTAGCATCTACTGCTGGGGAAGATTGCTTTTTGAATCGCTTGAGGAAATCCATTGCTGAGACGCTAAACTTGCGAACTGTGAAAGGTGCTCAACAATGAGTGTTATTTGTCAAATCTATTTACTTCTGCTCTGCTTTTAACACCGTATGAGAATCCCTGGCCAAAGTCGCGTTCGGAACACGGATTCGTGGGTAGCCGGAGAATATGTTATCGTCGTTGTATCAAAAGGGGCTCGCTAGATCGACGCCTCGTCTCCACCTCTGCAAGTAACTAGTCTCAGGTAAAACTAGCCGCACGTACCAACACGAGAAGGATTTCCGCCGTGCCACCGAATCTCTACAGGCGAGTCAAGAATACGTTCTTATCGTTGTGTCAAAATAGGGGCTCGCTAGATCGGCGCCTCGTCTCCCCCTGCGCAAGTAACCAGTCTCAGGTAAAACCAGCCGCACGTACCAACACAAGAAGGCCGAATCTCTACAGGCGATCGGACAACGGATACTAGCGATCCGCCTACGTTCCATGCGCTCCAAACCACGCATCGACCTCGTCGCCTGTGGCAAGCTCGTCGTCGTCGTCGTCGTGGATGGCTTCAACTCTGCCATGCCTGCGCCTGAACCGCCTCCCCCTCACCCGCGTCGTAGACTCATTCCGCTTCCGCAATGCCAGTCGCTTCGCAACCTCATTTGCCTCGACCAGGCTGACCAGCTTCCTCTTCTGCCCTTGATTCTTCTCGGCAAACTCCTTGCAGACTTCCCACACCTTTGTCGTAGCATCGCGAGTATCTCGGGACTTTTCGACGAAGGATTCTGGACGTCGTGAAAGCACGTTAGTATTCACGTTCCCGATACCAAGATGTCTGTGGCGACGATTTTGCCCTGCGTCGCTGGGAGGCGGAGGGTTGCTGAAGACCTCTTGAGCCAGATATGTATCCTCTGCCATCTCAAACGGCGTACGTCCTGATGCGTTCTCACGGAAGAGAAGGTCAGGACGGCATTGGAGCATGACGCGCAAGACTTGATCAGTACCACGCCGTACGGCAAGATGGACAGGCGTGTCGCCCTCGCCATTGACGATACTGAGGTCGTCGCCTTTGTTGAGCTCGAAAAGAAGTTTGAGAATGTTTTCGTGGCTCTCCGAGTTATAACTTGTTGAATTGTGGGGAAGAGCGACGTGAAGCCAGCGTGCAAGAGGTGTAGCTGCGCCAGGAGCCGCCGTTGTGCGTTCGGTGAACAGGCTAGAGAGAAGGCGAGTGTCGATGAGCGCCAAAAGCTCGCGGAGCTTCTCTAGGTCTAGCTGGTAGTTCAAATGTTTGTGCAGGATTGAGTGGATAATGTTCGCTCCGGTGTTGTCGCGTGTGGTTTGATCGGCACCAGCTTCCAGAAGAACCTTCACCATTTCGACACGGTGCTGAGAGAAAGCAAGCTGCAGGGGCGTCATGCCATTCGCAGAACGATGTCCAATCGCCTTGGGATGAGTTTTGCATAGATGTCGAAGCAGGCTCACCGACTCTTCACCCTCCTTGCCCAGAACCACCGAATGGAGCAGTAGATGCGAGCGTAGGTCGAGCCACTTTGTGATAGACGACTGTAGGCCGCCTTGGGTCTTCGCCAGGTTCTGGATGCGAATATCGTCTCGATGACTGTCCGCAAACTCCATATAACAGCGCAAAGCGGTGTCACTAGCGAACCACTCGACGCTCTCCAAACTTGTGTAACGAGCGGCATGAAGTAAAGGCGGATGCTTCGCCCCAACTGCTTTCGTCTGGGTCTCTCTCCCTTCATTCGCCCAGTCCGCTCGCTTCCTGCCGTGCACCGATAGCCCTTGGTAGTACTTTGGCTTCACGGGTATCTCGATGCCGCTCTTCTTCACAAGATCGTCCAAAGGAATGCCAGCCCCAGTGTTCTTGATGATGATTCCTAGCAGGCGGGTACGACTCAAGCGGATCGCGTACCAGAACTCGGCTTCGTCGAAACGGAAGAACCTCGGTGCAGTCTCATCGTCGAGTTCGGTGTTGTGTTGCGTGTACTCCTGAGCTCTGGCGATCAGGAATTGTAGTAGATCGGCATCGTCTAGATAGACTGCCAATTGGAACAGACTATGCGGCCGCACATCCTCGGGGATCTTGACGGGTACCGGGTTACCACTAGACGAGTCCAAAGGCGGTTGACCACGGAGGCTGCTTGAGAGCTCTGGGTGTGGAAGCCAGGGTGAGACCGATGCAGCATCGTGTTCGAGAAAACGGAACGCCGGGCACGTCCACGACATCATCTTGAGTGACGTCACATTGCTTTTGACTTGACTCTGCACCTCTCCAATGTTCTCAATAGTGAAGCAATCATCCACAATCTCAGCGTAGATCTCGAAATCATCCTCACCATCGTCACTGCTACCGTCGTCATCATCTCGGGGCTGGAGACTGTGTTTGACCAATGGCTTCTCTTCGGGCACATATTGCGCATGTGCAATCTCCAAGACAGCACGAGCGATTCCATAGTGCTTCCGCAGAATGGCGATAGAGAACGGCGAGTAATCCTGCGAGTTCTGAACAGCGATTTGCAGGGGAGTCTGATTATCTCCCCACATCGACAAGGTAAGCTCTTTGATCGTCGGAAGATCGCCATCCCAGCAGGCTTGGAACAACTTGAGGTAAGCTTCCCGTCGTTCGTCGGTCAGGTCAGAAAGCCGGAAGGTGAGCAACGGATTCCACGGCTTTGGAGGGTCAGGTCCATAGCTACCATAATTGTACTGTTGTGGTGGGGGTATCCTGATTTCGGTATCTGGATGCAGCTCTTTGAAGGTCTTCGCCTGTCGTCTGAGCAGCTCTGACTCCAATGCTTCGAACTCTTTCAATAGCGCCTGGACAGCCGACTTCTTCTCACTCGTACCCTCGGGTTCTTTCTGAGATTGTTTCCACTTCTCGTGGCTCTCCAAGTCTTGTTCGTAGATCCGTTTGGCGCTGTCGATCTGATCACTCACCATCCAATGAGCGTAGGTACCCGGTTCGAGTCCTCCAAGATATTCAGTATCTTCCTTGAGCGGTACTGGGGCGAATTGCTCGGACCGCCGGTAGTTATCAATGCGGTCCACCCAGCCTTCGGAGCACAACCACCCATCTTGGCCATCAACTTTGCCCTTCTCGATAAAGGTCTGTAGTTTTCGCACATTGTACCGAACAATATCCAAAAGGGTGCCCGTATCGTTGTCGTGTGTGTTGTTGCTCTTGTCCAGCGCGCACCAAGCCTTGGGAGTAAGACTGTTGATATCTGCTCCAGCATCCAGAAGCTTCAAGACTATCGACAGTGCCTCGTAACGAAGTGCAGTGAATACAGGCTGCTCGACGTTTTCTCTGAACGTCTTCTGGTTGTGCTCGGCAGTGTGGTATGCCGAATGAAACCCCTTGGTTTTCGCAACGGTAGAGTAAGTGGCGAAGTCAAGCTCAGGCTTCGCGCCCAGCTCTAGAAGTGCACCAACTCCAGCGGCATCACCATGTTCAATGGCTGTCTTCAGAGGACTGTTCACGGTGGGTCTGAACGAATAGCCACTCAGCGATATGTGATCGGCGGCTTGTTGCGCCAAAGGCTTGTTTGCGGATATTAGAGTGGTGAGCAGATCGGCGCCATGCGCAGCGAAGTAGTGCAACGCCGTGATGTGGCTGGTGTCGCCCTGTGCCGGCGATGCACCCAGGCTGACGAGCAATCTAGTCATGTCCTTGGCCTTCTCAGGCGAGAGCTGTAAAGCGAGAACGACTGGCAGGATCGCCGCGCGCGGAGACTTGTTGTAGTCGTTGACAAGCTTGACCGGCAATAGTACATCGGCTCCAAACTCCTGAACGAGAGTTTTCACGACGTCGGTGTGGCCGTTTGCAATGGCCAGATGAAGCGCAGATACCGGTGCGTCCCAGGCGACTACGTTGACGTCGTACACATCGGGCTCGTCGTCATTTGCATCATCTGGGAGGTTATCGTGGTCTTCTGACTTTTTGGGGTCTATCTTGATGACAGAGCCTTCAGTAGTCGCATCGGCATTATCGGACTCATCATCAAGTAAATCGACGTCGTCATCCTCATCGTCGTCGTTCTCGCTGTCGTCATCGGAAGCATGTTCCTCGGTGTCGTTGGTACTGGTAGCATCTGGTGTTTCCAGGAGGATCTGGTTCTTCTTCTTAAGAGCTTCTTTCTTTGCCTCTTCTTCTTCGTTGGCCTCACTCTTGATGAGAAGAGCTCTGACCATCTCTGCCTCACCGCGCATGGCAGCGAGGTGGAGCGCGGTCTTACCATCGAAGATGCGAGCTACGATGCGAGCTCCAGCATCGATGAGAGCTTGGACAACCTCTGGAGTTGAGGTCATGACCGCCAAATGAAGTGGAGTACGCCCAGTGTAGTCCCTTCGGTTGGGATCAGCACCCTCTTGACTGAGCCAATCCCGCACATGCTCGAGATCTCCGTCCACTATAGCCTGACACAGTCGCGCTGTATTGCCGACATATGCCATCTCGGTCCAATCATCATCAGTAAGAGGGTTAAAAGAGCCGATTGATTGCCGTCCAGGGTTGTCTTTGATGAAAGACAATGTGCCAGACACATAGATCTTGCTTTCCTCAGCTGCAATCTCCTGATCTTCTGGTGTGGTAGGCTCGGGACAAAACCCGCAACAGTCCCCAATTACATCGATTGCGTTTCCAAAGAAGGAAGGGTGTCGATGTAGTGTGGTCTGTCGATCCTTAGGTCGGTTCCATTCGGCGTTGAGTAGTAAGTCTTTCGCGAACAGTAACCTCTCAATCTTCCGAGCGTGGAACTTCGGCCCATATGGGATGGTGAAGGTATGGTAATCGCTGACCTCATCGGTCTCTACCCACTCGGCAACATCTTCGTCATGCTGTTGCTTGATGTCGCCTTTGAGCTTCTGCGTGGCCCAACGATTGATGGCTGGTCTGCCACGTTCAGCACGACGCTGATCAACGTAGGCGTCACGGTCGGTGCTTTTCGGCAATTTCTCAAGTACTAGCAACCTGGCCAGTCCGAGAGTGCGACCGAAGGAGCGTTCGAACAGCGTAGGATCAATGCGCGACCGATCAAAGAGCGGCCAGTAGACTTCGAAGCCGCGGCGTGCATACTTGGACAAGCGGTTTTCGTATGAGGGGGAGCGGCGGGTCAGATCGATGGTATTGATCTGCGTCATGTATGCAGCGATCGCACGGGGACTGGCGTAGACTTGGTTGCCATCGTATGCCGCACAGGAACAATCAACATCGAAGCCTGTGAGAATCTCGGAGATAGATCTGTAAATTCGCAGGACAATCTGAACGTGACGAGTGGGATACTGGGAAGCGATGGTGATGGCGTTCTTCGTACGGACGGTGGTTGTCTCTGTCAATATGGAGTCTCTGATGCGTTGTTCAATCTGCTTGATCTTCTCAATGGCTTGCTCTTCGGTAAGGTCGTAGAGGAAAAGATCGACATCCGAAGCCGGGGCCAATTTCTGATGATAGTATTCGCGTAGGGCGCGCTTGGAGCCACTATGTTCCTCTGGAACCGGCAGCAACGAAGTTACAACAGCGCTACCTGCGACCACCACATTGGACCAGTCCATGTCAACAAGCGATGACTCGGAAAAGAGCTGGAAGTTGGTCTGGAACTCATTGAGTGATTGCACAACCGCCGGAGAGCCAGTCGGCTTGCGGTCCTCCTCGTCGAGAGGCATGAGATAGCGCTCACGCTCAGCCTCGGATTCATCCTCAGGGTTGCGAGCGCGGATCTTGAGTTCACTTTCGCGGCCTGCGAATATGGGAAGGATGTTGGGCTCCGCAATGGCGGGGTGTTCTGGTTGCTGAGCGAACACCTCGCGCAGCTTGGAGTCATATTCCTTGTAGGGCTCGAGCAAGGTGTGCAGTGATGTCTCTGAATGGGCAGCGACATGATCAATCCAGTCGGTATGACGAACTGGGACTGGAGGAAGGTCAATCATTGTCGACATCTGATGTTGGGTTGTGATGGTTAAAGTGGCGTTGTGAGAAGTGGTAGAAAGCGCGTGTGTTGGGACAGAATTGAGATTGTAGAATGGAATGACTGCTGAAGACGGAAAAATGAAGGATTATATATTTCCTTCAACATTGGGATCTCGTTTATGCTTGACGATGGCAGCCTGTAACAGGATGGAGTTGGATGCTGCAGCGGAGTGGCGTGTTGAGGCAAAAGAGGGTCGAGCTAGGCAACGACGCGCCGTGGCCCATTTTAGCGACGGGAAGACGTGTTTAGGGACCACAGCAGCCTGACGAGACAGGCAGCAGCGAATCATGGTTAGCAGCGTGTATTGAGTCCAACGCGAGCTGCACACGAGTTCATGTGATGCATGACGCGACGGAAGTGGCAAGTGAGGGTAGATCTCAATGAGGTGCTCGAGGTTTGCCACGAACACGCTTGGGCAAAAGAAGGATAGCGCAGCCAGCGGCTTGGCACCTCCCGCTGGCAGCAGCTTCGAGCTCGCCATCTTCGGCATTAGCATCTTCCAGACGTTCTCGATACCAGCACCGCTCCTACGTTCAATTGTACATGGCTCTGTCACGCCTTCGAACGAATCACACAGCTTCTACTCCCTGATCGGCGAGTAGAGCGAAATCTGCCCAACGAAGAACATGATAATCGTTAGAGCCGCAACAGCCGTGAAAACAATGGCGACCTATCATCAAATCAGCGTTGAAACCTCCCAGAATCGACTTGCCTGAGATCATACCTTGTCCCCATCGTCTAATCCTCCAGAATTACCCAAATTCGACGTTGCACTCCACACGAGCAGAAACATACCCACAACCATGCAGATAGTCGCGGATATGAGAAACATGACTGGCATCTGCCAAGTCAAGACCTGGACAAGGTTTGGCGCACGACGACCCGTTCGTTTCCAGCGACTTCCTTTACCAAGTAGCTTGTGAAGATTGGCGAGGCCATCGCGGTGCGACGAAAGCCGATGTAAACGAACGGTCTGGTCGGCTGCGCTGATGATGGAGAGCATTGTGATGATGATGCCACAGTACCACGATGTCCGGACATACCACGGAGTGGGCCTGCCAGTGGTGAGGATATTCGGCCAGCTGCCTGTCGAGGTAAGGACACCCGCAAGCAGGGCGGACTTGACGATCGTCAGCGGTGCGGCATCATCAATGGATACAGTACTTACCACGACACCAACAAAGTTCAGCTCGCTTAGCTTGTTGTCTCTCCATTTTTCGACAAGCTCATCTCTCTCGCTTTGGTCATGCGTGTTGAGCAAGATTTCTAAAGGGTCATACGTTGAGGGGTCCGGTAAGAAGATGCCACCGCCGAACATCTGCGGTGCGCAAAAACAACTGCTTTGCCGCTTGCGTTTGTTGTTCGACGTCTCTGGATGTAGGGGTGGCTGGGTAACACCATTCGATCCTCGGTCTGCTGCTCTCCATTCGACATCGTCCGGCTCCCGGGAAGAAGAGGTACGGAACATGGTTTACTCGGTATCTGGAGGATCGAAGAGGTTGTGGATATGGGCAACAGTGGCCTCCATTGACTTTATCAAAGGTTTGCCAGAAGCAAACAATGCTGCGGTGTTCGAGAGGTGTTCGCCGATTATGACGCACATCGCGCCGCTAGCTGTAGCGCAAGTCTTCAAAGCTCAGTCAATCACAGCCTCTGCATCGTTCAGTCGCAATGCAGCCAAGTCTACCTACGCTGCGAACATCAACAGCCATGCAGGACGCTTAATCTCAAAAACGCAAGCGTTCAAATAAAGTCTCGATTGTAATTACGGACCTCGGCTACACATCCACTGCGTTCCAGCACCCTACAGCCAGCTCAATGCATGACCACAGCGACATGGTCGTCCATGTACTTCGAGATATCGCCCAAGAAGCATGCTGCGATGATGCTGACTCCGCCAAACGCTATGCTCACGTAGTACACGTACTTGTACGCCTCGGCGTACGCGAGCTGTCCAGCGTACACGACCAACTCATACGCACCCGGCACGTCCTTGATACCCGGAAGCTCATGGAGAAGCGGGAGAAGCGATCCGCCGGTGATGGCAATTGCCTCTCCGATGATCTCAGGCGATGTGATGTTGAGCTTGGTCACCATTGCGCCGCCGATGTAGTGGGTTGCGGCGGGAACAAATTTGGAGATGAAGACGTTGTAGTACACGCAGTATCCGATGGAACCACCAATGACGCGGATGGCAAGGGTCAGAGCAGCGATTGTTGCGATCAGGTCGTCTGGGCAGATGATAGTGGCTGTTGACGTTAGCGAACTGTCTATCGATTAACCCGACGTGAGACTTACAGATGATAGATGCGGGCACAACGATACCACCAATGCCGAGACCAGCGAGAACCAACAATCCCCACAGTTGGTACAAGTTGTCCACACGGCCGATAGAAAGAGCACCGCAGCCTGCCGTCATCATGATCGACGAGACGATCAAAAGCTCCTTGTTGTGACCGCGGAGCAAAGACAGCAACCACAGCACAATACAAGCCCCAGCCAGAATCGAGAACCCAACAGGAATACCCCGGATACCAACACCAACAGGATCATGACCATAAACGTTGAACGCTTGCGTCGGCCAGAACATGAGGATCGAGAAGAAGTTGGCTCCAGAGATGAACGTAATGACAAGTGTCAGCCCAAGAATCCGGGGCTCCTGACGAAGTCGCTTGGGGAACATGGGATGTTTGGCTCCGTAGGCTTCCCAGAAGACAAAGGCGACGAGGAAAGCGACACCCAGGATCAAGGGCGCGAGCACGTGCGCGCTGGACCACTTGTACTGGTAGCCACCCCACTGCATACCCATCATGAACAAGATCATACCAGCAACAGACAGGAAACCGCCGATGTAGTCGATCTGCGCGAGAACCTCTCTGCGGCTCATACCCACGCTGTTGACGCGGGGAGGAGGGTGGTAGAACACGAAGGTCAAGACGAGGCCGATGAAAGCCCAGAGACCTAAGATTGTCAGTTCTCGGACCATGCGTTGTTTGGATAATGGGAAAAGTTCTTACCACACCACATCCCAATCCACCTCCACGCCCCCGGACTCTGACTAGCAATAAGCTGCGCCCAAAGCACACTCGGACAAAACGGCAAAATCGTAAACACCAAAATAGCAACATACTTGCCCCTCTGACTCGTCGGCGCAAGCTCACTCGTCACCGCCAGCGCCGTAAGCTCGTTGATGCCCGCGCCCACACCGCTAAACACCATTCCTGCAATGAAGATATTCATGGAATGTGCGGTTGAGCAGATGATCATGCCGAGGATCAAGAAGCACGCGCCGATCATGGCGACCCACCGGCGGCCCACGATGTCGGAGATGGAACCGACGAAGGGGCACACGGCGGCGAGGGAGAGCAGGTTCGCGAGGATAAACCAGATCCAGCGGTCGGTGCCGCCTATGTCGGCGTAGATGTAGGGGGGGACGCCGCCGAAGAGGTAGACGGGGATTTGGCTGCCTGTCCATACTATTCTTGATGTTAGCGAGGGAACTCCGTTGTGTATCAGTCGTCTGGGAAGGGCTATACGCACGGAAAGCCATAGCGACCAACGCCATAAGTCTCTTAAAGTTCATAGGTTGCTCGGCATCGTGGTCCTCGCCGTCGCCGGCTGTCCGCAAGCCATCTTTTTCGTAGTAGTTGGTGTGTCCGGGGACTTGCTCGTTGGTGTGGATTTGCTCGATGTGGTTGAACGCTGGTTTGGAGGCTGAGGGGGAGTGGTCTGAGGCATCTATTGTTAAATTGGCTTAGTAAATGTGTAGGTGGATGTGGAGTTAGGGTGTAGGATTGCGTACCAGAGCCATCGCTGTGGTCTCGCATCGTGTTCTTCATAGTCTACGTATGGAAAAGACCTCGTAGACAGGAATTCAGAGCTTCAACTTTAACAGTACAAACGAAGCTGTCAGTCCTGCTCACAACTTTCGTTTGGAGGCTCAGCGGGGCTCTTATGCTATCCATGTAATTGGAAGCCACCCTTGCCTTCACCACGCCCCCCTACCAGGGCCGTCCATCACATTCCCCACCCACGACTCAGTCTGCGGGGTATTTCCCACCTAACATCCAACTAGTCCTCACATCGTCCCTCTTTCCTCCCTTTCCCTCTATTATCCCCCTTCACACTAGCCCCCAGATCCGTGGTCTAGCCCATCCACCCACCATCCCCATCCGCGCATCTGGATTCGCCTCTCCCACCACATCCGCGGTAACTTTCCCAACTTTCCCCAGAAGCCCAGCTGTCACCCCCAGCTTCCGCCACGTTAACCAGCTAGCCTATCACTTCCTTCCGCACCATGTCCATGGGACACCGGGGGAAGTTGTGAATGGGGTTAGCGTGGCTGCGTAGTGTGTATGTACCCCGCAATTGCTTGGTCGAGCTTGTCGCAACAAGCAAAGAAGCGGCTGAACAAGCTTTTGGCGAGGTTCTTCTAGGTTTGTCGATCTCAGATGGCTTCGTTGGAAAACCTGGGGATGGGGATAAGGTGAACGGGGATCGGCGGGGGACGGTGGGTTGGTGTTGGTAACCTTGGAATGGTGAGGTGGTGCGGCGATTCCGTATGTAAGGAGAGGGAGGGCTTCAGCTGCCCAGCTAGTAGGATGCGCATATTTGGGACACCACGGCAGTTTCTTCACTCGCTCACTCGCTGTTTCGCTCCTCGCTCTTCGCACAATACACCTCCGCGCGGCTTTCCCCCTCGGTCCTATTCGCGCGGAGAAAAGTCCGCGTTGGATACACCTACAGGGGAGTATGGGCTTGACCTGCCCGTACAAATGCATGGTCTCTAGTCCCGTGAGCTATGCTCGCTCTCGCGTATGTACGATAGCGACACCGGAGTGGATGCTTGATACGCCACAAGTACGGCTGTTCGGCTACAGGGTCATGCAGACTGTGTTCTTGGTTCGAGTTGCCTAGGTAGAACGAGAGGATGGGAGAGCTTGTTGGAAGTTCACTGCTAGGCTTTCATTGAGATGGATTCGCGTGCTGATGTGGAGATGGATATTGCTTGCTGGTTTGTTGTAGCACTATCAATGTAGAATTATCGTTGTTGGAGATCATAGTCCTCATCATCTCAGACCATCCATCTCCAAGCTCACATTATCCGCTCTCGAACCATAAACACCCCCATCCAAGATCCACTGCTCATTATCATCATTATCATCCTGCACGCGACGCCACGTCTGCTTCCTGCCTCCTTCACCCGCATTCTCCTTGCCTTTACTCTCCTGAACCTTAATAGTCGGCCTAATCAGTCCACCCAACAGCGGATTCTTGCTGAACGCCCCGCTACCACTCGATAGCGTATTCCCATCTCGGGGCCGTTGAGTAGGTTCGGGTGGCTCATCTTCGCTCTCGGGTGTAGCCGGCCTCTCGGTAGCAGCCATACGCTTGACAAGCTTCTTGCCAGAGAGATCGATGCTGGCGACTACTTTGCGCTTTTCGTACTCTGGGCGCGCATTCCAGTCTTGCTCGCGCAGGGCTTTTTGCTGGCGCTTGAGCTGCATGGCGCGTTCTTGGGGGCTGGCCCACATGCTGAGGCCGGCTGTTGTGGTTTCGAAGTCGGCGGCCTCGTCGTGGACTTGTGTTCGTTTGGCGTTTTGGGCTTGGAAGGCGAGCAGCTTGTCTCTGTGCTGTTTTGCTTTTGCGAGCTTCTCGTTCTCAGACTCGACGTCCGAGGCGGGGTTGGACGATGCGGGTGTTCCTGTGCGGGGTGTTGAGAACGGGCGTGGTGCGAGCGAGACATCGGCACGCTTTTGGCCCGCGTTGTTGGCGGCCATCTTCTCTTTTCCGCGCTCTTCGCGGAGAACGCGCACCATGGATTGGATGTCTTGTGCACTGAACAGAGCTGAGTTGCAGAAAGTGCATGGGCCGATGCCTTCCTTTACGCAGATGATCTTTCCGCAATTCAAGCAGTTTGGCGCAGCTTCGAGCAAAGGATGCCTGGTAGCCATGCAGTTGCATTTCCGCTTGCTGTTGTCTTGTGGGGCAAGAGTAGGGTTCGTCTGGATCTCAAGCGCTCTGATTGCGGACTCCAGATCATTGAGTGCCGTTGAGGCACCATGCATGGGCGTGCCACCGGTAACATTGACCTTTGCCTTGGCCTTTGGTTTGGTCTCAGAGATGAGTTGGCCTGGAAGTTTCTTTGCTGGTTGCGGAGCAGGCGAGACACCACGGGATTTGGGGGTGGATGTCCCCGATGACGTAGTGAAGGTTGGTAATTGCAACCCATCAGGTTGTTCTTGTAAGCCGAATTTAGCAGCCTTGGGCTTTGAGCTACTCGCCATGTAGTCCTCTTCATCTTTTTTGAGATATGCACCAGATACGTTGCCATGGTCTTCTACCTGTCGCGGTGGCGGAAGTTTGTTCAAACCGGGTTTCTTCTTCTTTGGCTTCGCCCTGGGTACTTCTGACATGCCATTTGACACTTGGGCCTGGCCAGAGCCGCTGAAAGGCTTCGGCTTTCTCCGGTTGTTAAATGAAGAGATAAACTCAAGTGCTTGCGGGCTGTCACCCAAGAAATTCTGCAGATGGTCCGCTGCTTCTTTGGGCGATAGTGACTCAGTATACGATATTAGTTGCTTCAGTGACTCGTCGTCTAGAGGAATAAGCTTCGATAGCTGGGGCAACGCCCAGTTTGAGAGATCCATGTTGTTGTTGATGGGTTGTGATCGTCAAATGTCGGAATAGGTTGTTCGCTGTGAATCATCACTCTAAGCTAGTAGCTGTGGCGCAGGCGCGTGGCTGGTCGGCGGTCCGTGCCCCAAAGTTCACATGGAATTCCAGCTCGTGGGGAAGCTGCCATCACAGTCCTCATACCCTCAACTACACATTCACCATGGCTACCGACATCGCGCTCGATACCACTATTGTACGTTAATCGTCTCATACGATATAAATCCTTCCTAATCAGAGCAGGGCACCATTGTCATCGAACTCTACAACGACCACGCGCCCAAGACATGCAAAAACTTCTCGACGCTCACGCAGCGCAACTACTTCAACGGCCTGATCTTCCACCGCATAATACCAAACTTCATGATCCAAGGCGGCGACCCCACGGGTACTGGACGAGGAGGTGAGAGCATATATGGAGACAAGTTCGAGGACGAGATCAGCCCCCAGCTCAAGCACACGGGTGCAGGCATCCTCAGCATGGCCAACTCCGGTCCGAACACCAATGGCTCGCAATTTTTCATCACATTGGCGCCGACTCCGTGGCTGGACGGCAAGCACACGATCTTTGGAAGGGTCAAGAGCGGGATGCAAATAGTGAAGAAGCTGGGCTTGGTCAAGACAGACAAGGAGGACCGCCCTGTGGAGGAAGTCAAGATTGTCAAGGCATACCTCGTCGATGACGGAGCTATGGCGATGCAGCGATACTAGCGCGGAGGAAGGGAATCAGCCAGGCGTCGACGCGATCGCATGACAGAGCGCATCAACGCGACACTCAATGCTTGAACGTGAGTTACTCGAAAATGGAATGTAGATTAATTACTCATACGTCCAACTAGTTCAGAGCTCCATTCGGATGGATCAACACCTTCGTATACCCCTCGATCCTCTTGTCAAACTTCTCGTATGCCGTCGGCGCGTCGTCGATATTAATCTCGTGCGACACGACGAAGCTCGGCTTGGCCTTGCCCGATACAATCATGTCGCGAAGATACCTGTTGTAGGCCTTCACATTACACTGCCCGGTGCCAAGATGCAAGCCCTACGGTCGTCAGTGGTGGGTACACAACTTCGAACCACGAACATACCTTTTCGAAGAGCTTGCCGAACGAGATCAGAATTTGGCCCTTCTTGCTCTGCTCGTCTGGGGCTCCAGGGTCGGCCGGAACATACAACCCTGGAATACCCAAGCCTCCCGTGGGCCGGGTCACCATGATCAACTGGTCCAAGACAACGTTTGGCTTCTCCTTGCTACCGGACGCGTCCACGGCTTGATACCCAACCGCGTCGACCGCGCGATCCACCATACCGTCATTGAGCTTGATGATCTGCTCAACCGGATCGCTCTTCCTGAAGTCGATAGGAATGCATCCGATCTTCTCCGCAGCTTGCAGTCGCTCAGGCACTGTGTCGACTACGAAGACCTTGCTTGCACCTCGTAGTATACCGCTATACGCTGCCATGAGACCAACAGGACCTGCACCGAACACCGCGACGCTTTCGCCGGACTGGAAGCCAGCGAGCACCAGCCCATGCCAGCCCGTTGGGAATATATCTGCTAGTAGTATGAAGTCGGCTTCGTGCTCGGTTCCTTTGGGCAGCTTCAGGGCGTTGAAGTCGGCGAAGGGGACGCGGAGGTATTGCGCTTGGCCGCCTTGATACGGGCCCATGGCTACGTAGCCGTAAGCGCCGCCGGCGAAGCCTGGGTTTACTCTGTTCTATTGTTAGGACTGGTGCATGATAGCCTTATTGGAGTTCGACTTACCCGGTACAGAACGCTGTTTTGCCCTCCTCGCAATTGCGACACCTGCCATCGGCGACATTCTGCGAGCCACGTCAGAACCATCCGCACTACATCTCCACAGAACACTCACAAACGGCAACACAATCCTATCCCCCTTCTCCAAAAGCGTCACGCCGGCACCAACCTCGATAATCGTCCCCATATTCTCATGACCAAACACCAGCCCTGCCTCCGCAGCCGTCCGTCCCTGATACATATGCAAGTCCGACCCGCAAATCGCCGCCGTCGTAACCTTGACAATCACATCATCTGGATGCTGTATCGTAGGCAGCTCGACGTCCTTGACTGAGACCTTGAATGGACCTTCGTAGTGCACTGCTTTCATCTTGGAGCTGGACATTTTGGGGGGTTGGGGCGCGCGTCGCGTGCAAATGTACAGGCACTTTCAAGGGTTCAATGTTACAAGATACAAGATACAAGGAGTTTGTTGCGATGATAGAACGAGATGCGCGTGTGTTAAGAAGTGGAAGAGCCGCAGTGGATGGAAGGCACGTCGATTTGCACTGGAGCACGCCCCAGTCTATGATGTATGACGACCCCTCTTCTTCGGTACTTGCAAGCTTGCAGGCGTTGGCACCAGAGCGTCTGGCTGGCGTCATTATTGAGGGGCTGACAGCGGAGGATGGGTCGATCAAGTGTGGGGTATGGGTTCCGAATCGGAAAGGGTGCTTCGGAAACTAGCGCATTGTGTTGATTGCGCTTCAACATTTGAAATCACTTGTGTCCGCATGGGCAGTCTTTTTCGCATGGTAGGGAAGCTTGGAGGATCGGTCACGCCGATGTGGAGGCCTCCTTTCGGATTTAGATTTTAAGCTGTCTAGAGCGGAAGAGGCCTCAACATCGGCGTGGGAGGTCTTGCTTGGTTCTGTATCGTGCGCTCTAGCTTTCGAAGCCCGCACTTACACGTGCTGCAAGCAGGAAACAAACAACAGGACTCCTTAGGTAGCGACATAGTGTAACTAAACCCAGGCTGGTGTACCACCCTGAAGCTTTTGACAACGATAAGGTACTCCAAGCAGAACCGCGACTGAACCTGTATAACGAAAGAAGCAAAACGTCCTAAGCAAACTTTTGGAAAGAGATATGCAACGAATGGGGTCTTTGACAACCGGTATTGTCTAACACCCAACTTCCAAGGTTGCTTGCGAACGAACGCTAACAGGACGTCGAGCACTTGAACTCTCTCCGTCGATTCCTTCACGATATCGCCTGTCACGCACTCTGTTGTACTACCTATCTATGGGAATGCAGGTCATAATGCGCCCAATTAGATCAACTGCCTTATTGGCGCATTGCGCGCCGTTCAAAGCAACCCCATCGGACGGCGACTGCTACCTTCAGGGCGCGAGAACTGTGTTTGCGGTAAGGTAATAGAAAGACGTGTAATACCATTGATTGAACATACTGCCGGTATATATGTAAGTATGTTCAAGGTGGTGGTTCTCTCACTCTCTTACTTGACAAATTTGCTAGTCTCTCACTTTTCTCCTCTTTACTTCGCGCTTAACACTTACTTTAAGCAATATACCTACTATTACACCTATCTCTAACTCTTCTTTTACCTAAACTAAGAGAGTTATAAATCTCTAGCTATATATATTATAATATTTAACTAATTTCTATTAATTCTATTACCTTTTATCTTTAATAGTCTAGTAAGTATTTTCTAGAAAGTAATTTACCTTATACTTTAGTTTAATTCTATATATTAACCTCTAAAATATATAGAATACCTAGTCTATTAGTAAGCTCTACTATAAAGTAATCTTCTAGATAAGTAGCTAATCTTTAGAATATACTTAATTTAAAAGATATTTTTTTTTTATACTTTTTATAATATACTATACTTTTATTACTATAATAAATATATACTATATATAAGATAAGCTATAGTATTTTTTTTTATATATTAGAGATAAGTATATATATTTTTATAAGAAGTTATTTACTCTTTTACTTTAGCTTTACTTTTTACTCTTTATATTTTAACTATAAGATATAGTAAACTTATACTTATCTTTATAAGCTTAATATTAAAAAGCTACTTTACTACTACTTTTCTTTTTTTTTATTAACTTTTTATCTTTTTTATTAACTTTATATCTTTCTTTTATAACTTTTTTATATTAACTATAGTAAGCTTTAACTTTCTTAGTGCTAATAACTTTACTACTTTAAATACTAAAGTATGTAATTACTTTAATAAAAAGCTTACTAAAGTTTATTACTTACTATTTATATAATTTATTAGTATTTATAATATTTATAAAAATAATATTTAAATTTCTAGTATTCTTTAGCGCTTATAACTAAACTACTATTTTTATAACTTTAATAATATTACTTAAAGTAACTACTACGCTTACTTTTTTAAGTTTTTTAATATTAACTATACTATCTAGTACTATAATATATTAAAACTATATATCTTATCTAACTATATTAATATTATTTACTATAATATTATTCTTATTATCTTTATTATAATTAGTAAGAAGCTTAGCTTTAATATAAGTAGCTTTTATAAACTTAGTATAGAACTTTTTTTTAAAGTATATATAAAGATATAGTTATTTAAAACTTATAGTATAAATAAATATAATTATATATATTTCTACTAAAAGAAACTTATTAAAATCTAAATAAATAGTAGTTTTAACTTATACTACTTCTCTAAGAAAGCTAGATAAAATATAATAGAAGTAGTTTAAAATATATAGTAGATAGTTAGTAATATTCTTATATAAACTATATTAAGATACCTAAATAGATACTAACTTTATATACTTATTTCTAGGTCTTAGAGCTAGTAATAATTAAGCTTAAGAACTTTTACGTAGTAGTTCTATTAAGTAAGATACTATATAATATATTTAAGAAAGAAAAGCCTATATTAGTACTTTACTAGGTTTTTACTAAGATAAGAAAAGAGTAAAAGTAGAAGAAAAAAAAGAAAGTAAAAAAGAAAGCTATAGAAATAGAAAATAGAAATAGGCCTATAGAATTCTTTATTAATACTAAGCTAGTTTAGATAGATTAGAGTCTAGTTAGTAACCTTCTAGTTAATATTAAGCTAGGCGTAGTTAAGTAGGCTTTGCCTAATAAGGCTAGGCAGTTATAGATTAGCGTAGAATAGGCTCTAAGAATTATAAGAGATGTTAACAAAGACTTTCTAACACAGGCTATAGAGAGGGCTACATTAGGCAGAGACTAGATAGATGGTCGCGGTTGAGTGTACTATAATGACGACATGATGACCCCACATAACGAAGATACTTTCCAGAAATGGTTTGAAGCATACATCACGATAAACTTCATACTTCTATAAAGCGCTAACATCGATGTAGACGTCAAGGTCTCTCATGAGCTCACAAACTAACCTCGGATTGTTATTGTAGTCTGCAGCGTATTCATGATTTCACTAGGAAAGGAAGAGATGAACGGCCTGTTCGATATGGCATGAAAGCATTCGCATTGTTATGTTTACCCGTAACGTCTGCCATAGCTACGACAAAGATATATCGGGATAATACATGTCGCTGCTAATGTAGCATGACCATGATCCGAGCGAACCGCTTCTACGCGCTCGACATTCAACTCTCATCTCCACTGATCTCCGCACTCCTTGCTCCGTCCTCAAGCCTAACCCTGCTCTGCCGCCTTGCGCATACGCTTCTCATGCTTCTTGTGCCTCTTCTTTGTCCTCTTCGCATACTTCTCCAAAGTCGCAATACGGTTCTTTGCCCAGTTGGGACCGGCGTCGGGAGGCGGTGCTGTAGAAGGGCAATACAGTTAGCCAATGCATCGTATAGATATAGAACAAAGCAGCAAGTGGACGCCTTACTTCCAAGGTCTCCTCTAAGCAGACGCTCCTTCTCGTCCTCTCGACGCTCATGCTTCCGCTCGAAACGTTGGTGACGGTGTCCGGACGATTCCGTGCGACAGCTCTGGGTGCGCTTCGGGTTTCGTGGTTTGGGGTCGTGCGGGTTCTGCGAGGGCATCTTGGTGGGGTGCGAGTATTTTCCCTTGTGTTGGTTAGGCATGCAAACATGTTATGGAACTTGTCTTTCTGATCTATACCTTGCCCGGGTACCAGTACGGGTCGTTCTCTTTGGTGTAGTTCTTGGTCAAGTCGCGTCTGATGCTCCTCGCGCTGTCTTCTCGGTCGGCATGCTCGTCGTCATCAGTCAAAGGGCTGCATTCACGGTCTTTGCTGTCATCGCGAGTTATCGGTCCCTCATCCCGGTCACCCCAAGGACTGCGTGGACGACGCTCATACTCATAGCTGGGTTCACGTTTGAAGCCGTCTCTTGAGCGATCGCGTTGTCGATCATCGAATGCGCGCCTCGAATCGCGTCTATCTTGGCCATCCAGACGGTTACGTGAACGGTCTTCGCGATCACGGCTGCGCTCGCGCCTGCGATCATCGACCCGGCGGTCGCGTGATTGATCATGTCGGTCACGACTAAGCTCGCGTCTGCGTTCATCTCCCCAGCGGTTGCTTGGACGGTTGTCTCGCTCCCGGCTTGGTTCGCGTTTGATGTCGTCGCCCCAGCGGTTGCGAGGACGTTCCTGCTGCTCACGGCTGGGCTCACGTCTACTATGATAGCTATCATAACCGTGGTAAGTCTGTGGGTAGCTGTCGACGCGTCCCTGTGGTTCGTCGCTTGGCTCGCGTTTGACGCGATTGTCGGTGGGATCCTGGAAGTCCGACATCGCGCCGCGGGATGAAGCAGTGGGAATGAAGAGAGTGTGACCAGAATGAGAAGGGAAAATCGAGAGGACGGACTGAAGTGGCGGAAGAGAGACCGGACGCGGTTTAAGGAAGCGACAAAAGAAATGACTCGTCGCTGCGAAACTTGGAGTCCCCGCTGTCAGTATCAAGGAGGAACGACGGCAGTATACGGAAGGGAGCAGCGGGCCCGCAATGGCCTGACGACGCGTCCCGCGTTGGGCGCGTATGCTGACACTTTATCAAGACTTACGCGCAATCCAATCTGAACACGGTCGAGATACCTCAGTCTTCGCGATGGAGACGCCACATGATGACTTATCCCAGGCGCAGGAGAAGAAAGTAGCCGTACCCATGACGTCACCACGCTAGTTCGCATCCATCTCGACAGGCACGGCCGAACACGAAGGTGACAAAGCTGCAAAACACTGTTGCCTCCGATTACCAGATACTTCCACAACAGCCGCCACCAAAATATCGTACACGCACACATCGAACACAATGTATCTCCTAACACCAAGCTGCACTATCGCAGCAACTATACACTTACAATTGATATTCTCACCGCGGACCAAAGATTGAGGAATACCCAATCGCGCCACAACCATTTTCACATCGCGATATGGACAGCGTATACACAGTCCGCGCCTCACCCGGCGAAGGACTAGGCTGTTTCGCTTCCACGACCATCCTGCCGGGTACGCTCATCCTTAGCGAAACACCCTTATTCAGCGTCGCAGAACCGCGCAGCAACAGCGCCGTAGTCTTAGCCTTTTCTTCATTGTCCGACTCGCAAAAAACCCAGTATCTATCCCTGTACGCCCAGAAAGACCACAATGGTTTCGAAGAAGAGGCAAGAGTAATCGACATCTTCAACTCCAACGCCTGGCAAACAGGATCAAAAACATCCATCTGCCCCCTCGCCGCGCGCTTCAACCACAGCTGCATCCCCAACGCATCCTTCGCCTACAACCCGCTCACTGGGAAAATCACAATCCACGCCATCGTGCCCATCCCCTCAAATTCCCAAATACGATTAAGCTACGAGCGCCCCTACCAAACCACCCTTTCACGGCGCGCAAAACTATATTCCTACGGCTTCATTTGCGCCTGTCCGGCATGCAGCGACCCCACGCCCAGCAGCGATACCCGGCGCGCGCGAATGGTGGTGCTGGACGCGCGGATCCGGACGGGGCGGCGCCAGCTGTGGAGACGGCCTGTGCCGAAGGCCGCGTTGGAGTTGTGCAGGTTGCTGAAAGAGGAGGGGTTGGTGGGGGAGGCGTTGGGGCTTGCGTGGCATGATGCGGCGGTGGGGTGGAGGAGGCATGGGCGGTTGGATATGGCTGTGGCTTGTGCGGTGAAGGAGGTGGAAATCGCGATGACGTGCTTTGGCAGGGAGAGCTCGGCGGTCGATGTTTCGACGGGGTTTTTGTTGGGGTTGAAGGGGGAGATGGGGGGGAAGGGGATGGCGGGTGTTGCTGTGGAGGCTGAGGAGGTTGCGGCTTGCTAGAAGGGTTATCTTGGTATATTGTCGAGGTGTCCTGGTTTGGTGTTGAAGCATGCTCTGGGCATGCCACATCTCACTTCCTTGATTTGTGGCGCAGTGACGATATGTACAATGTGCCACACCCCCAAACAAGCTCTCTTGTCCAACAAACAATGTGCTACCACTTGACATATTCCCTCTTGACGTATCCCCTTCTCTCGAACACAAACTTCCTACCCTCCTACCCTGTACCACTACCTCCCCTCCAAATCACCACCCCCACCACCACCGCAGTAACCGCGCAACTCTAGCATGACTAAAACCCCTCGAACTTCCCGCAAGACTTCCAAAGCCAACGACATCGTCCGCCTTAAAAGCATTGTCCAGCCCCTCACAAGACACCCGCCTCCCAAATCAAATCTAGCCCAATCTGCCGAACGCCGCCTGTCAACGCATCAGACTACCACTATGTCACACATGACCGAGTGGCTATGTCCTCACTGCTCACATATAAACCGCGGTGAAGGTGGGAGTGGGGAGAAATGCGGGGGGTGTGGGAAGTAACGGATGAGAAACGGATGTCTGTGGTCAGGGATATGGATAGATGAATAGCAAGGGAGAGGAATGAGGGATAGATGAGGAAGTGTTGGAGTGTGGGTACCACGATGGCAGGCTGTTGTAGGGAGAGGATTGATGGAGGGATGAGGGGATAATACGCGAGTTTTCATCTCGGAGACAGATCGAGCATGTAAAGTTGGCTTGCAGGACTAGATATGTGATTATGCTGATTTTCCCAAACTCCATCGCTATGCATAAGATGTATCATCAGACGTGTTTCTGAATGAATCGAGATGGTGTTGTAAGCAACGGCGTATGGGACTTTTTAGGTACCGGAATCTTTACAAATCGGGTACCTAAAAAGTCCCATACACCGTTACTTGCAACACCAGCTGAATCTTCAAACGTAACCTTCTCTTTTCCTCCCTCAGATGCCTCCTCTACTACCTGACCCTAAGCCTCTTCCCAGCAGGTTCAACACCCCCCTCTTCCCTCGCCGAACTATGCGCTTCAGGACCAGTCCAAACCTGACTCTTCACAGTCGTGGGAACGGTCGTACCGTTTCCTCCTTCACTCCCCTCATTCTTTCCCTCCATCTTCGCTCCAGCAGTCGGCCCAACTTTCCTTGGCCCTTCAATAGAAAACGAAAAAACCTCCCTCTCGGGCCTCCTCGACTTCCCCGTCGCAGGCTTCCTAACAGCATTGACATCTTCTTCCTTGAACAACTGCCCCGTCCGCTTCGTCGCTTCCTTGCCCGCCTCTGTCGCTTCTTCAACAATCTCCTCGCTGTAGTGCCACATCAGAGCGATCTCGCCCCTTACAAGCGCCGTCGCCCACAGACTGAGCAGCACGCCTGGGACGAGCCAGAGGAGAGCAGGTTGCGCGTGATTCATAAGATGTAGCGCGGCGAACGTGGCGACTAGACCGCCTACATAGCCCACGAGCGAGGCGTTGAAATACGTTTTCGGGAACGTGAACGGCGCTTCCTCTTTCTCGTTTTCTTGGGGTGCAGCAGACTCCCACAGCGGGCGTCCCATGAGTGAATGCGTCCAGAAATGGTCGCTCCAGCGTCCTGCCAGGGGCGTAAACTCCGCTTTCACGACTGTGTCCTCGGCTCCTTCTGTTAAAGCGGGAATGCGTTTCTGGCGGCGGAGGTAGAAGAGGTAGAGATCGAAGCGCAGTGCAAGGCCTATCATGAGTCCAGGGATGATGATATCGCCTAGACCGAGCATGGCAGCGGCGTTCTTGCCCGAGGGCGTGGTGGCGGTGCCGGGTTTGGGGAACATGAGTTTGATGGGGACGTCGAGGGAGGATGCTACTGTTACCATGAGGGGACTAGAAGAAGATGTGATGTTAGTAGTGTTCTGTGCGAACGGATGAAGGAGGAGGAGAGTACGTACGTGAAGAAGACCATGTAGATGTCGTAGAAGAACAGTCCCACGAGTATCGCACTTCCAGTCGCAAACGTCGTCGGACTGATGACTTGGATACTGCCATATGCGAAACTGAAACCAAGCAGGTTGGTTAGGTACCACGTCTTGTCAACGAGGTTGAAGTAGACGAGCGTAGCCAGCGCTACCACAGCACCGACAAGCGTGTGCGCGCCTACTCTAGCTTTGCCCGCCAGCGCGCGCTCAAGATACAGCTTCAGCGTCCACTTATTGGAGGGCATCGCGCGGTCCGCCCAGAGCCATTCTTTCGCTCCATCGGAAAGTGGTATGCGCGCGAGGAAGCCGGGGAGCGGGCTTGTAATGGGCCCGCTGGCCTTGGTGTTGCCTGCGACAGGCACCGCCCTCCCTGCCTTGCCGTCGACATGGTATAGCGCGCCCCCGAGCACATGTCTCCTTGGGAATATAATAGAATGCCCAATATCCAGCACATCGCTGACCAACTTCGTCACAGCGAAGAACCCAAAAACAGCAAAATACGCATTAAGCGCTTTACTCAGTATACTCGGATCTTTAAGCCATTTCAACAAGAAATACAGCGTCGCCAGCGAAATCCCTGCGAAAAGCGGGAACAAGATGATATGTCTCGGCGAAAGCCCTTCCATCTCGTTCTCCGGCTCCTCGTCCTCCTCCTCGTCTTCAGAGTCGCTGTCTTCATCTTCGGCGGCGGCGTCGCGACGGCGGTCTTTCCGGCTCTTTTTGGGGGGCTTCGCGGCGGTCGAGGGGCGGGTGAGCGAGGCATGGGCGGCGGCGTAGATGGGGAAGAGGGAGGCGAGGATCATGTGGGCGTAGACGGGGAGGAGGGGTTGCACTTTTGTGAAGGCGTAGGCGGCGGTGCCGAGGGCGCTGGCGACGAGGCTGGGCTCTGTGTCCGCCATGGTGCGCAGAGGGGTGGGTGTGTGTTACGCGCAGGTGGATGGGGTTGGCGGGGGTTTTACGGTGTTATGTGGGAGGAGTGAGAGTGGGTGGTGGTGGGGAGGCTGCTGGTGAACCCAGGGTTACAGAACTCTCTTCCCACAACGTGGCCTATATGCAACCAACCACAAAGACTTCGAACGTCAATGGGTGTGGAAGCAACCAGAGTACATTTCACATTCTTCTACCAAGCTTCTTCCGTCGCGCATCCAGACAACGACGCGACAATACGGCACAGTCGCGTCCTTTCGCAAACAAATTCGGCATGCAAACCAATCAAACATGACGTCGCCGCATCGCGTCCAGCCAAACACCCTGATCGGCGTTCGTGCATGGCCAGACCAGCGACGGCCCAGACCCAGAATAGCCCGTCGATAGATCTAGATCTCGGCCTGCACGAGCGGGACCTTGCATGTTGCCCCCCATCCCTTCCTTCACGCTCGAGCGTGGAAGAAGGAAGATCACCTCGTCTTTGAAGCTGTCGTCTTGCAAGCTGCCAGACTTCCATCACCGCGCCTCCGCCTCCCCCACCCACCCATCCCTGCATGTTTCCCCCCCCTTCCTTCACCGCTTGAAA